AACAGTACTTAGTTTTCTAAAAGCTATGTCACATTACCTCACCATGCAAGCCAGTCAGCAGCAGGAGAAACTGTATGCTATTTCCAAAGGTGTAGCAAGGATCATTCATGAGTACATTTTCCGCTATACTGGAGTCACTATGGTTTAATGTTCTAGGAAAAAGATCTGGAAGTTGTCCACTGCCCGCCAAAATAATTTCATAAATTTAACTCTTGGTGGGGTTTGACCTCATGCAAAAGTCACCTTTTATGATTGGGACTGATTCTAAAGACGATCAAACCATACATCACTTCTAGAATTTGGATGGAATTTTTTATGCAAAATTGCTACTTGGCAAAATGTTGCTAGAAACGTTTAGTGATTACAAGTGCAAAATCCAGACTGAATATTTTTTATCACGTCATTAGCACAAAAAATAAACTTTTGGGGTCCAGCTATCTCTGTTGTACATCCCCTGAAAGCCACCCAGAATATGGTGTGTCTTTATCAATGAACTAAAGAAGAATGACAAAACCCATTTCATGGCAATTCTCAAGATTTTGAAATCTCTTTTCATTCTGTAATAAAATGAAAATAAACATTTTTGAAGTGTTGGGAAATGGAAATGGGTCCAAAAAAATGTCAAGGATGTCATTTTGGTTACACTTTGTAAGTGACAAGAGAATCTACTTTTGAATCTTACAAACCTTCTAGACAAATATTTTGTCAAAACAGATTAATCGCAATGCACATTTCAGGTTTGGTAAAGCTGTATTTTTCAACAAAAGTGTTCCAAGAGTCTCTTTTTTTATTTTTATTAGTTTTACCTCCAGAGACCCAAAGGAAGTTCTACTCTAACTGAAATCAATTATAAGATTTCACTGGAAGTAGGGTGAAATCCTTTTCAGTTTTATGAAAAGGACTTAAGAGATCTTACAGGGAACCTAGAGATTCTCTCAACTGAAGAATGCCCCCTAGAGGGGTGGTGATGGGGATGGACTCAGAAGGGCATAGTACCTATGCCAGGGATGGGCAAAATACGGCCTGTGGGCTGGATCCAGCCCATGAGGCCATTCTATCCGGCCCGTGGGGCCCCTAAAAAAACCGTAGAAAATTAATATTTCTCTGCCTTTGGTTCCTGTCAAAAATGACAGGAACCAAGAGCAGTAGGACCCAAGGGAAGCCCAGAGGGCTCCAATAACAGTGGGGCTGCCTGGCCCCACCCCACCAGCTGGAAGCCCCAGCCTGGACTTCTTGCCTGGGAGCACATTGCTGTCCCGTGCCAGAACTGAAGGTAAGTGTGTGTGGGGGGGAGAAGGGCAAGGGGACCCCGGGCAGGGAAGAAGCATGGGTGGAAGTGGCCCCTCCCCCACCCCGTGGCCAGCGCCCCATGCTGCAGCTGCTTGCAGCCCGCATGGGGCTGTCTGTGCCTGCTGTGGACAGCCCCTCATGATCTGCGAGCGCCTGCAGGAGGGAGCACCGGCCATGGGGCAGGGGAGGAGCCACGTTTCCCCCGCATTCAGTTTTTCCCTGGGATCCTTCCCTATGTGGAGAAAAGTGGCCCCTCGCCTGACCCATGTCCGGTGCTCCCTGCTGCAGGTGCTCACAGCCCGTGCAGGGCCGTCTGGAGCAGGCACAGGCAGCCCCAGGCAGACTGCAAGCAGCTGCAGTGTGGGGCACTGGGCATGGGGTGGGGAGGGGCTGCTTTCCCCCCCCCCACCTGCACTCAGCACCACCTTCTACCTGGGCCCCACTGCCAGGCTGGCAGTGAGGCAGGTTACAAGCTGGTGCTGAGCGCAGGTAGAGCGGCCCCTCACTCACCATGTGGCCAGTGCCCCACACTACAGCCACTCGCAGCCCATGTGGCACTGCCTGTGCCTGCTCAGGCCAGCTCCACATGGGCTGTGAGCGCCTGAAGCATGGAGTGCCGGCCATGGGGCGGGTGAGGGGCTGCTTTTCCCCATGCTCAGCACCAGCTTCTTCCCTGCTGGCAAGCTGGGGGTCAGGGCTGTGTGCTGCCCCCCACCTGTACTGCAGGGCTAGGGGGCACTGGGTGTGAGTGGATGCACTGGTGTCCCGGGGCCAGTGCTAGTGGGGCCAGAGCAGGGTGGCACGAGCGCAGGGTCCCAGCTGGCAGGGGCTCTGTGGAGCTGGGCCAGCTCTCCCCTCTCCCTGCTGGTGCAACCCAGCCCAGCTCCACTGACCCCTGCCAGCCTGCACCCTGCTTTGGGCCCCACCGGTGCTGGCCCTGGGACTTTGGTCCCAAGACATTGGGACATTGGTCCCAAGATGGTGACCAGGGTTCAGGGCACCTGTCAAGGGGTGGGGCTACCCATGCGGCCCTCAACAGCGTGCCAAAACTGGATAAGTGGCCCTCCACCTGAAATAATTGCCCGCCCCTGATCTATGCCATTCTAACTTTACATGGGCTGAGTGCCTACATTACCAGATGGAAACTTACAGCCAACCAAATGTGGCAGCTTTAAGATCCCTTACCTTTAGTATAATAGTATAAAAGGGTCTTAGCAAAGATCTAGGGGTGGAAACAGACATTGCCTTTGTGCCACCATAAAAACTTTTATGATGGTACAAAGTCCAACCAAATAGGCATCTATGCCCCTTGGTCAGCTGCAGATGTCCAAAATTTGTGACTGCGACATTGGTTTGTACTATTATTTTGCAATGGATGCCTGTTTACAATGGACATCTGGACAGTTGTTTGCACTCTCCAGCTGCCCCCAGGTAGACACTGTGTGGGCTTCAGTTGGCCCAATCCTGTATGCCCTGGGAATAAGAATGGGAATTCTTGAGGCATGCACAATCAGGCCTTGAAAGCACCAGGGACACCTGCTAGGTCTCCTCATTCATAGAAATGTGCTCCCAGGGAATTTGACTTGGGGTGTGTCCCTACAAATGAGAAAATCCTGGGTATCCTTGATTGCAGAGGTGCACCAGGACATTCCCTGGGCAGTCCTCTGCTAGCAGGGAAACCTGGAGTTCTCCCTTTTGTCGAGGCACGTCCCAAGTGCTGTCCCACAGTATCAGGCCCTAGCCACTCCTAAGAGTGGCAGGGGCTCTACGCTGCAGGACAATGAGTGACATCTCTTTCATCCAGTGAAATGGACCAGCTGTGTAAGGATGCACTTCAGCTGTGTAAGGATGCACAGCTGATGCACTTCATCTGGCAATGTCTGTTTATACCCTAGTCTATATGTCATTACTGAAGCCCTGGGCCCTCATTTTAGAACCTGGAATAGGGATGGGTGGTTTGAGGACTGGGTGAGGTTTATCTATGACAAGAGATATCAAGAATTAGGATTATCCAGCCTGGAAAGGAACAGATTTACAGAGGCATTAATGGAGGTTTTTTAAGATTGTGCTTGGAATAGCAACAGTTAGCCACTCCCTTTCTTTTACATAGCATCATCATGCGGGATCAAGGGGTCACTACCACTTCACAAAATTAAGTTGAAAACACACACAAGGAAATGGTTTCTTCATACAGTGTATAATCAGCCATGAATTCATGGTCGTGGGAGGTCAGAGAGTTAACTATTGCAGCTGGATTACTAAATGGGCTAGCTAATTTTATGATCAGTAATAAAACATGTGGCTCAGTAACCTAAGGCCTGTCGGATTTCATGCTAGAAGGTAGAAGGTGATCAATGCAGGAGAAAAAAAGAAAACATTTCTGTATACATCCCTTCGTCTGCACCTACACCATCTTACCATTTATCTGGAAACAACTCCTTCTATAGGAAGCTTTAACTTTCCTCTGAAGAAGACATTGCCACATGGTGCTCGAAACCAGAATAGTTCCATCAATAGCAGGCATTTGCTGGTGCTGGATAGGAGAAAAACTAAACCTGTCATATGATTTGAAGTGGCAAGTCCGATGCCCATAACTATAGGAGCCTAAATTTGGATGCATACACAGACATCACTCCTCCCAATAAATGGCAAATATTCCCCCCACCTTGTTTCCATTTTACAAAAGAGGAAAAACCATTCCAACCAAAAAAGCTTTTAAAACAGGTCCTCAGGCCAAAAAAGGCAAGTAGGATCATCTACTTTGTTTTCCTGCATTACACAGGCCATAGAATACCAGTCATTATTTACTCCAATGCAGGAAATTATGTCAGGAAATTTGCATTTTAAAGGTGGATCTGCCACTAGCTTGACACCAAACCTTGAACAATCACTTAAGTCAAATATGTTGAAGTTACTCAAGTGTCAGGCTCATAAAACTTTAAGGCAATTAAATAAAAGTGGCCTGAATTTTAGAGGGGCAAAACCCCTGCCGTTTCCGATGGAAATTTTAAAAGTTGAGGTGTTGGAACATGCTGTTCTATAAATTTTAGGTACAGGATTGAATTCATACCCTATGCCCAGTATGTAAAACATGTGACAATAATAGGCGTGGTAATTACCAGAGGGCTGGCAAGTGTTTGAGCTACTTAAAAGGGCACAGGGTGTGTATATATGGGCTATGAAAAAAAAATCTTCAGTAAAACACAGTACATACAGTCAGTTTGTGGTCAGTGCTGATTTTTTAAGGTCCTACAGGCTGTACAGTTTCTATGTTACATGGACTGCAAAGTAACTATTTCCCCCCTTTAAAATGTATATGGAATGATGGATAACAGCTAGACCTGCTATAGAGGATTCAGAAGAAAAGATAAAGGCATTCTCCATTTCTGCAGACTTCTGCTCTCCAGCTGCAGTCTCTCTTCACAGACAATGAATCATTAGCCTAGAAAGAAAATACATATCTGAATAAACCACACTCAGTGACTGTCTCTATTTGGTTATATATGGGGGGAAATTAAACCAATCAAAGCTCATCAGATGACATGGAACCCAGTGGAATTAAAATGCACAGACAGACAAAAATCCATTGTAAACTATCCTGTAAATTACTAGGGTCGTACAAGGCCTTGAACACTGAGAAAAGCAAAACAAATCTATTAATAACTGAAATACTGATAAAGTTTGTGCCTGATTTTAAAAAAAAAGCAGTATGTCAACTTTCCAAGGTTTTGTGGTCAGTGAGTTTTTCATCTGATATGAAAATGCGTGCGTGCATCTGCATCCCAGAGACTTAGGGTCCAAGACACAGTTCAACTGGGGGTAAGCCTGCTAAAGGATTAAGAGCAGGGGGAAAAATAGGGGAAGGAAAACACTAAATTACATTCAGCACATGTGAAGTGAGGCACATTTATGCAACATCAAAAGCAGATGAGTTGGCAAAGACTAGACTATGACCTGACTGATCTAGGCTGTATACCAATTTGATACTCTTGTACATGCTCACAGGCTTCACTGGATCCCTCTTGATGTACACAAGCTTGAGATCAGGAGACCTTTCAGGGTCACCATAAAAGGTTTTCTTTTTCATGTTATGCTTAATGCAATGAAGATGTGAGGGAATGTCTGGAGTTGTGAAACTATAGCGAGCGTTATGTGACTGGCCTCACACACCTGGGTGGGGGGGCTTAAGTTCCACATTGTTCTAAGCAATGACATCATGACTGGGAGGGGAGGCAAAGGCCACTGTCCCTCTACCTGGCAACCAGTGATGCATTGCCAATTGATTGGCTTGTAGCCAACTTCAGCTAGTCTCCATTGGATCTCAGAGTGCAGTCATAAGGTATATATAAGTTAATGACTGCCCAGGAGGAGGGGTGACAGCCATCATGAAGACACAGAGAGCAGCTCAGCTCAGCTCAGCTCTTACTCTCTCTCTCAATACATGGACACACTAGGAACTGCCTGCATCCAGAGGGAAGCTCTATCAGTCTCTAGATGATACTTGTGAGTAAGCTACATGAGATCTAACTAGATATATAGCTTGCAGTAACTCAGATGTGTGATCAAAGGCTACCCAGACACCCTGTTTGCTCTAAGGTATTTCTCTGATATTGCTCTACACCCTTCTCCAAACCTACTCCTTATAATCAATAAAGTTCTCCTCTGTACCTAGCATAGGAGTCTTATTGGGAGAGGGTCTAGATTATGCCTTGGGTCCCCTTGATACAGCTAAGAGAGACCACTATGTGTGCTTCAGACTAAGGGAAGCACCCCAAGTTCTTGCAGTGGGTTGAGTACCCCCTTCAGATCTATAAAGCCTGTGTACCGCATGAGGCACAGAGCCACTAACAGACTGAGACTCGTGAGTGGTGGCAGCGTTACCCCTAGGCTGCAGGTATGCTTCAGGAAGGGGGTCGGCCAAACGTGAGGCACCCAGAGCTTGGTAGGCAGTCAGGCACAATGAGGTGGGTGGCTCAGTGCAGAAGTACCTTCTACTGGCCCACCACAAGTGTATCGTTCCCTCTGTTGGGCTTCAGCTTTCTTGACCTCTGCCCCTTTAATCTCGCTAGGCCTTCTAGCCAAGGCCCATTGAATTGGACCTGGCTTTGAGGTACTAACTTCATTCATCCCTTCTAGTCACTTGACCCTTATCTGCTTAGCCCTTCACCCCTGTGTCCCTGGGCCTGCCCCTGGCAGGGCTCAAGGCAGTTGAGTGTCCCCTGGGCACTAATGAGGCCTCCTTACCGCCCCTCCTAGCCTCATCCCAAACTAAGGGTAAAACAGTAATGTAAATCATAAGCCCTGGGCTGTAACATAATCAACAACAGAGAAAGCATCTCTCTGCCCCTTTAAGAGGGCAAAACTTCTTTCTCCCTTGTTCCAGTGTACCTGCCAGCACAGGCTCCTTTTGAGCTCCCTGAGCCTCAGCATTTCTACAAGCAGCAAACAGTCATCCCTGGGTGGCTCCTTGGGTTTATACGCCCCCAGGGCCCTGACTACATCCAGTCAGGTGATTGCCTGGGCTGGCTGCTAATTGTCTCATTAGCCCTGCTGCCCCAGCAACTGGCAGGTGCTGCCCCCCTGCCTAACCTGCAGAGCTCCCTGGCTGGCCTGTTTTTATCTTCAAGTAGCAGAGAGCCCAGGGCCTAGGGCTCTCTGTTACACCAGAGAAGAGAAAAAGCTTGCTCTGCTGTGCCTGTGGTGGCAGGAAGCGATGCCACACATGCAAAGGACACTATCAGCTACAAAGTCCTGTGCCCTCTGTGGATGGCCGTAGGAATTGTTAGTGCCTTAGTGCTTGTATCAAGAACTCTCAAATGAGATATTCATGCTTTGCAGCTTCTCAGAGAATGTTGTGGCATTCAGTGCAGCAGGATGCAGGGTAACCCAATCCAGCCAAAGCTTGTGTCATTTCAGTTTGGAAATTATAGGGAAAGAAGAAACTATGGGTTTTGTTTGTTGATTTGGTTTAAATATGTGGCTGGTGCAAAGATCAGTTGTCAAATGAAAAACACTGGATGAAGCCAAACCTTCAACTGGAGAAAAAATAGGCCCAAGGGAAGGAACCTCTGTGCCTCTCTACAAAACCCATTTGGTCCCCAGTTTCCCTCAAATGCCTTTAAGACTTTGTCTAAGAAGGATTAAACAACATTCCCTCCAGAGCCTAGATAAACTGCTCTTTATTTACACTCTACTGTAACCTTAGGATATATAGGCTTCAAGGTACAAGTCAGCCTTGGGTTAAGAAGCTGCTTCCTCAAGGATCAGGTTCTCCCAAAACTGCTCTTTACAAAAATTCTTACACTTTTGAAGCATCTGGTTCTAGCCACTGTCAGAAACAGGCAAGTGGTCTAGATGGACCTCGATCTGATGTGGTAATGGAAATGCCACTACTTCTATTCAGGTGCAATTCAAGTTCTTAAAAAATGAAAAATCAACTTCAAGAGCCATTTTGGAGATGGGTGGGTCACTGCTTTCAGAGATACTGCTATTTACAAGGTACATAATGCCAAGATTTTAACTGTACGTGGTCAGATGCATAGGGTCGGGAGGGGCACATGGCTTATAAGGAGAAGTTGCTGGAACTGGGCTTATTTAGCCTGGAGAAGAGAAGACTGAGGGAGGATTTAATAACAACTTTCAACTACCGGAAGGGTGGTTCCAAAGAAGATGGAGATAGACTGTTCTCAGTGGGGGCAGGTGACAGAACAAGGAGCAATGGTCTCAAGTTGCAGCACGGGAAGTTTAGGTTAGATATTAGAAAAAGCTTTCACAAGGGGGTAGTAAATCACTGGAACAGGTTACCCTACAGGTTACCTACAGAAGTTGTGGAATCTCCATCCTTAGGGGTTTTTATGACTCGGGTAGACAACCTTGGCTGGGATGATCTAGTTGGGAAGTTACTGCTTTGAGCAGGGAGTTGGACTAGATGAACTCCCAAGGTCTGTTCCAACTCTAATTTTCTATGATTCTAGGTCTATTCTATAAGCATTAGCACATTAGCCCTGCTCCTTTTACCTGGCTCTGATTCTGTTAATATTTTTTTATTAGTTTAGAGAATCCCACTTAATAAACGTCTCTCTCAGTTTCAATTGTATGTAAGAATCCTCACTTCTTGCCCTAAACTGCTTTGCAGCATTGCTGGGAGATATTCAACAGTTTACAAGTTCAAAGATATACCTGACCTTTGGGAATGGACAAAGTGATTCCTATAGATAGTTGGTAAGGTACTTTGGTATCCATTTGAATAAACAGCACTATCGAAATGGAAAGTTTTCTGGTTACAGTGGGCACATCTACACACGCAGTGGACAGTGCAGTTGTTACTGCACGGTCCCATTACTGCATGGTTATTTTTAGATGCTACTGCTCGGTTGCAATG